ATGCCTCTGTCTATATTTTTTGATTGGTTTATTGGTTGAAGTTTTTTTTTTTTTATTATTATTTTACTACTGAAACCAGTAAATATATATTAATTATAGTAATTATGAATGTCTGGTTTTTAAAAATTCAAAATAGTTTCCCTCTCTGTCCAAATAAAATGTTCATATCATTCTACCTTAACTATATCTACAATACTATAATACAGAAAACATTTGAAGTCACTTGGTCAATTTGACTATCCCTACCCTGCCCCTTATATAGACTTACGGCACTTCCTTATAGCAAATGCCGCTAGCCATAGCCGAGCGGGTCTTGTTGATGAACAGCGCCGTCTCGTCCAGGATCTGGGGCGGACGATGCACCTGATTGAGCGATTGAACATAATGTCCCGATGCTCCTTGATATGTCTCGGCGGGCACGAAATTGGCATAGTTGCCATAGGTGCTATACTGAGTCTGGGTCTGGGTCTGGTACTGGGTTTGGTTGTACTCGCTGCTGGCATTGCCGTATAGCTGTAGATTGCCGGCAACCTGTACAGGCTGACGGGTTTTGATGCCCGCCGTCTTAAACTGGGCATCGGCGCCACCGCAAAGAGMCAGCAGCAGCAGCGCAGCAGCAAGACTGAACAACTGCAAAGATGAGCTCATGATCGATGACGTCACACGCTGAATGTAAAACTATAGTCGATGTAGCTGGAGGAAATAACTGCACACACGCGTCCGTTCTCTACGACTGCTGCACTTTAACTAATCGCTGAGTAAAAAGTTTTTCAAATTCAGTTTCTAATGGTTCGCAAATCGCCTCCAGCCGGCAAAATTTGATCCCCTCCGACTTCCCTTTTAATCAGCAATGCTCAATATCAATAACCTCGACGGCGACTCTCACATCTGGCATCACGTTATTGTTTTTGTTGTTATATTTCATTTGTATTTGATTTATTTTTGAGTATACATATTTTGTAGGTAGTTCTCAGAAATTATTGACTGATCTCAGCAAATGAGATAATCAATAAGCAGAATTGAGTGAGTGCCATCAACTGCGTAATACGCTGCGAACGTATTATGATTTGCTCATATTATGATTAAAGTGTTCATAAGACTGTTATCCCAAAAGCAATAACTCTCAAACTGTAAAGGCAATGATCTAATCATATATACATACCCACATTAAAATAAACCTCACATATACTCAAAATCAAAATTATGATTAATTTGACTAGCTGCAGCATATTTTTTATTACTTATAAATATTTACTTTTAAATATTAATGTATTCTTGAGCTTTAAGCTATCAACATTTCCCTGATATGAATATGTTTTCACAAGTAAATAGTAATGCATTTCGGTAAGCTTACAAATATAAAGCTGATATTAATTAAATTACTCACTAGGTATTTAAATTCACACTTGTCAGGTCTGCAACTGATTAATAAGGCCCACAGACGCACACAGACTAAACAATCGTATGCTCATCCACATATTAGCTGCACTAATACATGCACAATTCAAATAGTTTCCACACTCACCACTCTCATCTCATCGAAACGCTCTCAGCTGCCTATAAGCGGACCAAACGGATAAGCGCCGTTGGGGTGAGTGCAACGATGGGATATCGGAATAAGCTCTTTCATTCCAACTCTCGTGGTGTAGTATGTAATTGCAGCCCGTCGGATAAAAGAGCTCCCTTTGATGCCCGGATGAGTGCCGTTATGATGAGTGAAGTGGTTAGATATTTGAATAAGCTCTTTCACTCTTTCGTGTAGTAGTAATGACAGCCTTTCGGATAAAGCAGGTATCGATCGTCCCATTATTTCCCTACAATTTTAAAGTGAAGCCTATTAATTCTTCTGATTGGACACAGCACTCTTAAATTAAGATTTCAATGCGATAGCATTGCAATTAAATACATTATAGCAATTTAAATACATTATTTTGTGTTAGTTTCCCAGAATTTATTCAGTTCTATTCCCCATATTTGCGACATGGTCGCTCACTCTCCGAGTGATAGGAGTATCCAGGCCCGCACTCACAATTTCCAGGCGAGACGCACACACCGTTAATGCATTCCGGATTGCAGATCGGTTCACAGAGCAGAGTACCAGAGTTGGAAGTCTTACGTATTGCATAGCCCTTACAGCAATGTGAAATCTGGCGTTGTCTGAGCTCAGGATTCAGAGTTTGGACACTGCAAAATATGTTATTAAAATATGATATTAAGATCTTTTTGATAGTCTTATTTCGTTGTCTGTAAGTACTATACTGTTTTGTAGCATATGCCCGGTTCACGATTCGCTATCGTCTCACGCTCCCAGCTCTGATAATCGTTCGTCGATTGCTTCCAAAATTGTCCCTGTGCGTAAGCCAGACAGATAGTCAGCACACCAATAATCAGGCTATTCGAGCGCATGTTCCTCTCCCTCTCTGTCTCTCACACTCGCGCTCTCTCTTTAAAGTACTGCTACGATGGGCTTAAAGGTAGGCGCGCAACTGAGCTGCACTCGGCTTGAGAGCTGTTTTTATAGATCGCTTAAGAACGGTTCATTCTGCATGTGTGTGTGAGTGTGTACTTAAAATAGATGAACTTGCGCAGTGGCGTAGGAGAACGTGTGGAGAAGAAAGAAGGCTCACATATACTTAAACCCCTCTACAGCCACGCCTTTGCACTACTGATAAGCACGCTCATAGCGCATTTCTTTGTGCTTGACATCGCTTTAAATAGACATACATACATACAAACATATGTATGTAAATTAAAAATATATTTGTTTTTGAGATAATATGTATTATTCAGCATATGTATGCATATATATTTATATATATGTTACTAGTCCCACCATCTGTTGGTCTCCAGCATGTCGGGAGAGCCCAGTATAAAGTGTCTGCCCAGCAGCAGCTGGAACTCGTGCATCAGCGACGCATTCACTCGCAGCGGATTGATGGAGGCGTAGGTGGTCACCGTATCCGGCGACATGCATTTGTCTATGAATCGCGTCTTGCCCTCCAGGCAACGGCAATGACCTTCCGCATTGCAATACCCGTTCTCGCACCGTTGATAGCTCTCCTCGGGGCCTGCAACGATCGCACAGCCGCAAACATTTGGCGCTATGCAACGGCCGTAGAAGCCGCAGCCGCGATCACACACGGCATCGCATCGCTCGCGATTGCGCACATAGCCATTGAAGCAGCGACAGTTGCCCGGCGAGACGCAGACCCCGTTACGGCAGTCGTCCCCACAGTCCGGCAAACAGCTGGTCGTATTGTGATCGTAACGGTATCCATTCTGGCACACGCAGGTCGTTTGGTTCGCACAGAAGCCGTTCTCGCAGCGCCTAAAGGGTGTGTGAGAGAGAAAGAGAGTGAGAGGGAGCGTTAGAGTTGAGAGAACTAGAGATAGTTCTAGTAAAACTATCATTGAATTATTATTTACAAATATTTATATATGTATGATATAGACTTTTTGTATTGAAGACCAACTATAATAATATAATATTACCTGTATTATAATTTATGAATAAATTAGTGTTTAATACATTGAGATACAAGATTAACATCTACATTGAAACACTATATAGAAAAATTTATATGAATATGATGAGGTCATATGGTATAATATAATTTTGAATGACTTATGCATATTAGATATAACATATAAGCATATAAAATACATACATATACATATATACATGTATATATTGTACTATCTATATACATACTCCTATATAAATTTATATGTACATATATTAAATATAATCTTTTTTGGCCTTTTGCTTAATAAATCTGTCCTTAGAGAGAAACTTTAACTGGACAACATATTGCACCTTTGCTAAAGAAAAAAAACTACATTAAAGTATTCTATATTATCTTTTGCTATCTGTCGCTATATCTAAAATGCATGAACAATCTTCTTACCAATCTCATCTATTTTAGTTCTCATTTAAGTACGATTACCTCAACTCAATACTCACATATAGCAATTGATTTCGCAGGAGCTGCGATTCATGCGCTTATGATAGCCCGGAAAGCATTCGCATTGATTGGGTGCCACGCAGTGGCCGTAGCCACAGTCGGGAATGCACATGGGCTGGCAGCCCAGGGCATTCGACTCCCTGAGGCCTCGCGCATAGCCCTCGGCGCAGACGCATTTGCCCGGCTCCAGGCAGATCTCGTTGTGGCCGCAGGTGGTGTTACACTGCGGCTGGCAGAAGCGCTTCGAGCCATCCAGCTCGTAGCCTCGCTCGCAGCGACAGGTGCCATTCAAGTAGCACTGGCCATGCGGGCAGCCCAGCGGACAGGTGGGCACACACTCGTTGCGATAGTTGAGCACGAAGTCCGAGAAGCACTGGCACCGGCCACCGGGCAAACAGAAGCCATTCTCCCTGCAACGCTCTCCACAATCCGGCACACATCTGGACCAATCGTACTCGTATCGCCGCCAGCCCTTGCAGCAGACCTCGATGACATTGAAGTACGGATTGGTCGAGCTATTGCCCACGATCTTCAGCTCTTTGTCGTACTGAAAGAAAACAGCTCTAGAATAAATAGAAAAATATAATGTGGAAATCGTTTTAATATATTTAAATATACATAGATTATCATAGATATTTTCTGATATATTCATATTCATGAGACTGAAATTTTATGAATCTTCAAAGAAAACAGAACATTAAAAGCATGTGCAACACATTCCTCTTTGTCAAAATAAACTACAAGTCTATCTACTATTAAACAGTCCTCTAGAGATAGAAACCCCTTTGGTGTGCAATTCAGAAATGCAAATATTGATTTTTGTATAATTCTTCTACTTCATAAAATTCTATACATCAAATGTATTTTATATTCAAACCTCTAATTCTCTAAACTCTAATTAAATGCGTAGCTTAGCTTACAACAATTTCACAATATAATGTTGTTTTGTCGACTTTAATCTGTGGCTGTACTTACGGCACTTCCCGGAGGCATTTTTCTGGATAAACGCCTCGTTGGGGCAGCGACAGGCCCTGCGGTATGATATAGGGTTTGCGCGTCGATGTGGTCGACGAGTAGCGGCGCTGCTGTAGCTGCTGTTCGCGCTGTTGCTTCAGCAACTGTTGCTGCTGATGCAAGCGCAGCTGCTCATCTAGCAGTTGTTGCTGCAACTGTTGCTCGTGCAGCTGCAGCTCGATCGCCTGCAGCAGGCAAATGTAGATCAACAGCAGGCATGCCTGCAGGGCGACAGAGCGCAGCAGCCTGGTCGAAGGCATTTCCCGATTTCCTTGTTTCCTGTTTGCGATGCCAAGCAGTGCTCTGCTCTGGCGACACAGCTGCGTTCAAGTCTCAATTGTTTACTGTGTGGCAGCAACAGTCGCAACAGCGGCAACAGCAGCAGCAGCAATTGGAGAAACGGGTCAGCGTTTAATCTCAGCTGCGAGGGAAGCGGCGATAAGCCAACGAGCTTTCAATTAAAAATATTAGCAAGAGACTACGCAGTGCTTAAATTAAGAGTACTTCAGCAAGACGTAAACAACAACATATTTGAGTAGAGAAAGGCCACAGGAGAGTAAGAGAGAGCGAGAGAGAGAGAGAGAGAGGCAGAAGAGAAGACAGATATAGTAATAAAGACCGAGTGAGATAGCGAGAGAAAAAAAGCGAAATGGGGAGATAGAGTGAAACAGAAAAGGATGGCGTAAGTGGTAAGGAGAGGAAAAGAGAAAACTAGTGATACATATTTTTATATATTCCACCTGCTACGATGCGTATGAGTAATATTACATTTTGAGAATTATGGAATTTTTATAAAAAAAAAAAAAAACTGTAAAATATATTCATTCATATTAATACATAATTTGAAATCATCTATTGTATTTGAATTCACTTATTA